AACGGTTCACAAAATAAAGTCATGACACAGACAGGAGGTACCCACAAGCCATCTTTGTACTGGCTAAGGGAAGAGAACAAAAATGGGAGTTTACTGAGGAAACAGACATAGAAAAGAATAAGACAATAAAAAAAAAACCTAACACAAATGCTTGAAAAATGAAAAGAGATTGGTAGGCTCAGAAGATGCACAGTACAGAATTTTCTTCATCTCAACTATAGTGGAAATGGAACATGAAAACTGATGACATCTCCACCAAAGGAACTATGTCCCACACCCACTGCTGTCATCCATATTTAGATTCCAGTTTTTATTTCAAATTGATCAGTTAATTCAACATTTACTGAGCACTAACTAATTGCCAAGCACTATGCTATGTGAAATAGAGACAAAGGCTCATTAAAAACAGTGCTTTATAGTCTCTTAAACCCAGTGAGCCCTGTTCCGTTTTGTGAAGGTCCAAAGACTCCTAGAAAACTTTGTACATTAAACCATTTCATAAAACCAAATTTGACCAAATACTTTCAAGTTTGTCTCACCTTAGAAAAACAGAACATTTAAAATCAGAATTACCTGCCTGCATTTAAAACTGCCAAACTAGTTTATAGTAAGTTTCTACTTTATTACTTTGGGGCTAAGGATTAAATACTTTCCTAGGCAACAACCTTTTCTACATTCTCATTTTAGTATCTTAAACTACTATGCTGTAAACAATTTTAGTTTCATGGTTCTTTTTGCTTTTTTATTATCTGCAGGTTATGTTCATCTTCACTGAATTTCATATCTGAGAGACTACTGTCTTGATTGAAACAGATTTGCACGACCATTGGTTTCCTCTGGTTGGAAATGCCACTGGTTTGGGGATGGACTTTTAAATGGCCTAGTGGACCCCCTGGGGAGCTCTGTGCATTGACCTCTACCCTAAGACTGTGGTAAAGGGTAGACAGCGAACCCTTGCTTTCTCAGGCTGGTGAGGGAGCTCAGCAGGGCCCTGTCTTTTTGGGTGACCCCGTAGGGACTTTACTGTTTCTTTCTGACTTACACAATAGGGAATCCCTTTTGTTACTCCTCAGAAGAACTGTTCTCTTTGGCTCATACTTTGTCATTTTCTCCATGGATTAGTTTTCTTGTCTTGATTTCACTGGAATGTAAGCTCCAGGAGCTCTGTAAGGGCTTGGATTTTTGTCTGTTTTGTCTTCTGCTGTATCTGTAGCACCAGCACCTGGATCAGTGTCTGGTGTACATAGTACGTACTCAATAAAATTGTGTTCAGTGGGAAAAAAAACAGACAAAACAAAAAAAACCCAGTGCTTTAAGAAGTTCTTTAGGAAGCCAAGGTAGAGAATAATTTTTCAATATATATTTTATACTTTTCCAATCTCTCAGGGTCTACCAGAATTATTTCTTTCTGCCAATATTTAATGATGACATACAAAATACCAGATGTAATACAAAGCACAAGGAATATAATGAAAAAGATTTTGCAGGGTCATAAAGAGGCCCCTTGTATGAGTTTAGTCCTTTATCACAGAAGGACTTTTAAAGGTTAGAAAACCAGAACAGTGATTTGATCAGATTTACCTTTAGAAAGATTGCTTTGAGAATGGTATGAAGCAAGACTTTAGAGGCAGGTAGATGAGTTACGAGGCTGCCATTATAATCCAAATAAAAAATATGTGGAGTCTGATTTCAGGTGAGGTGACATATATAGAGGAACAACAACAACAAAAAAAGACGTTTTAAAGAAGAACTTTAACAATTTAGGACCTGCTAGAAGTAGGTGTTACTGGAGAGTAGTAAATGATAACTTGAGACAAGTTATCCTGTTATCCATAACTGGATAGATGAAGGGCCCATTCTCCAAAATAAGGGTAAAGGGTGAACAGGCTTGAAAGGAAGATAATGAGTTTAGTTTTGGCCAAAATGAGTTAGAAACAAAAGGTAATAAACTTTAATACTTATGGTCATTCGTTAAGGTCTCAAACTATGGAATAATGTTGGATAATTTCAGAGCCACTTACTGTATTAAAAAGGTTAACTATTTGTCAAAGTCTACCAACTGAATCTGAAATGTGTGAGATTTTTCCTAAATTTTGGTATGTCTTATATACTTCCACACCTCATTGTATAATACTGGTAGAATCAGTTAATCATCTAGTAAAATCATCTCAATTTTTCTCTCTCAGTATGAAGGAAATATTGCTATTCATAAAACTGTACCATTTCAATTGCACCTAGAATCAGTAAATGATTTGCAAAGTGTTTTCAGCCCTTAAGAACATAGTTCTAGGCCCTCTAATCTTTTTTAACCAGTGAGTAAAACAATAATAATTTATTTTGTATAATCTTGATAGTTTTCAAAGCTTTCCTATCCACTGTCTCTTTCAATCTTTATAATAACCCTGCGACTTATAATAAAAGCCAAATAACAGATAAGTCTTTTGAAATATATAGATGGCAAATACAGAACCACAACTCACAAATCAGTTTATGGTTCATGCTGTATACACACACATATATTACAGACTTTATTATAATATTATATGAAACTGTTTGAAATTTAGAAAATATTGGGTCATACAATCCTTTGATAACCTAGTTGAAAGGAGAAAAACATAGTCATACACTTTAAGTTTATAACCAGGCATTAAAATGATCAAAGGGATTTATAATTATTCAAGCTGAGGGAAAGAGAATTGCAGAGACAAAGATGAAAAGCAAATAGAGCCTCTGCCTGTGAAAACTGGGTTCAGTGACTTAATAGGAAGCTTAATACTAAAAATTCATCTCTAGCCCATAGACATAATGTTTTTTCCTCAAGTAAACTCAAGGTTAACTTTTTAAAAAATTATACACGTAATTCCCTGGGCACAATACAAAATAAATTTAAAGCTTTTGTTTCCTTCAATATTATAATAGCCACTTCCTAACACTTCCATATCTATTAACTGTCACTTTTCTGTATTTTAAACAGTCATATTTTGAAACATACTCCCTATGAACTCATAATGTTACCTGTACAAGCCTAAGGAAGCCGTAAGTATTTACTAATGTAACAATTTTCTATATGTAGTAGTAATCAGGTCTTAAAGAAAAATATCCCAACATTCTAGTTGAGCAAAGTAATGCCTAACTTCACATCCATATGTATCACTATATTAACTCCACCCCCTTCAAAAAAAGGTAAAGCTATTAATTTTTACTGGCAGATGCAATATTACAACTTAAAATCAATTCTCTATTATGCAGGGATTCTTTACTGTGTAATCCTATTTCCAGAAGAGCCCAGAGTACAAAGTCCTTATCTTATAGCCAAGTAAAGAGAGGCCCAGAAATTTTTTGATCAGAGCCAGGTTCACAATGCCCAGTTCTAGTCAATGTGTTCTCCAGCACAGTATTCAAATAACATTCAACTTTCTCCTCTTTACACTGTTGGATGCTCCTCTTCTGCCTGCTCCTTTCTAAGAGGGGTAGAAAGAAGTGACACAAGTAAATTCAATTAAATTTTGTTGAGCAATTTAGTGTCTCAAATGCAAAAGCACTGAGGCTGAGGAGAGAGAGCAGATTAAATGGAAACTAGTCTCTATAATAAGAACTTTGACCACATTTCAAATGTCCATACTAACCCTGACTCTCATTATCTCCTATAGACAAAGCTGGCTTCTATCTTAGTGTTCCCATGGAATCATAATCAATATTGTGTCCTCCTTAATTCATTTCACAGTAATAGCAAACTATATATATCATTGACCACTACAAATATTTTTATTCTTCTCTATTAACATTTTATAAAGTTATAAAATACAATAAAACTACACTAAGTACTTTCTCCATAATTCTTAAGCTCTTCCTGAAAAATTATAAAAGTAACACTTTCACTGAAACCAACGTGATAATAAAAAATATGAAAAGAAAGAAAGATCATCCCTATTCCTTCTTTATCCTCCATCCCATATATCAAGACAATTATACTTTTCTTTTATCTCAAATATATACATGTTTTATAGAAACAAGTTTTTTAAAATAGGATACTTCCTGTGAATTATACCTGTCTTCACTTATTAAAATATCACAAACATTCCTTACAATGAACAGAGAACCCATTTTTTAAGAGTTTCATAACATTCCATTGCAACTATTCTCCCTCTTGATGTACATTAAAGTTATTCTAGCTTTTTGCCACGACAAGCAATGCAGTAATAGACACGTCTGTACAATTCCCTATGTCAGACTGAAACAAAGTCATTCCCCCTTTCACAATCACTCTGCGTTAATAAGAGGGTATTCTTATTAAAACAATCACTCTGCGTTAGTAAGAGGGTACTCAGAAGAGAACCCAGTGTACAAGAGGAACTTTCAATCAAGAAACCTTCCTTGGAGAAAGGATGAGGAGAATACATTCTTGACTACTGAGATATTATGTTCAAAATGGATCACAACCTGTTCTAAAAGTCCTTAAAATAAGGAAAGACTGAAGAATTAGAAACAAGGTTCAGAATTCGTATTATTGGTCTGGAGAACTTAAATAACCAATTATAGTTCAAAAACATAAAGTCCTCTTGTCTTCCAAAGAAAAGCTGCCTAATAGAATGATTACATAATTTTTTTAAAAATAAAAAACAAGTAAAATTTACATTTAAAACACACACACAAGCCAAATCCTTAAGATGCTTCTTATATAACACAGATAAACTAATTTCCAAAAATTGAGATAAAGTTGTCATTTAGGATCAGGGCTTATATCAAAACCAAACTCAATATTTAGTGGAAAATTAATATAAAATCAGTATCCACAATATTACAACATATGTACTATTTAAATATTTTTATTTTGACATATACAATAAGACAAGGTCTGTTAAAATCTCAAGAAAAACAGGAACTCATATGATTACACACCAAACACAGCATAACTAAGTCTAAAAAGTAAAATTTTAGTTTCTTCAAGCTGTCTATGGATATCAAATTGGAGAAAACTGATCACAATACGATTAGGAATCATTATACTTCATCTTGAAAATCTAATATTTATTGACCAAAAAAACCCAAAAAACAAAAAACACCCTACAATGGCCGGTTCTGCAAAGTACAGAATTTTAAAACGCAGGAGGGGTAGCTTACAAAGCTCTAGTGATAAATAAACTATACTTTTTAGGTTTTGGCAGACACTGTATGTTTTCATTCATCCTTGGAAGCACTGCTGAAATAGAAGCAAGAGTGCCATCATTCACAGAGGATAAAGGGATAGTTCTGAATGTGAGAAGAGTTTATGGTAACTGTGCAGCAGAGACAAAAAGTCCTGGGACTGAAGCATCAACTGTCTTTCCATATTAGTAGATGGCCAGCATTTTCCCATCAGGCCCCACAAATTTCAGTCATTTCTTAATTTTCTCCCTTCTTAGCTCTCCATTTCTCTCTATGAAGTCCTGTTGGTGTTACACACACACCAAAAACACATGTTTCTATCACCCTTCTGGTCTGTATGCCTTCTCTCAACAGTATTTCTTTTTCCTTCTTCAAAACAGACTCTTCTCAAAGCAGTTTTCACTGAGTATTTCTTGATTCAAAACGGACTGGAAGACAAGATGGAATAAAAGAGCTCTTTTTCCTAGTGCCCACACTAGAAAAAAAAAAAAAAAAAGAGAAAATAATACAAAAATCTCTATTAAGAGCAACATTTCTTATTTTCACTGAAACAAAAAAGAAAAGAAAACTCTATCAGCATATCCTCTCATTTCACTTACTTTACCTTGGCCAATTTTATTGACATATCTTTGTCTATATCCACTTAATTGAGTTGTTATATGTTCCAAATGCTCTAAGTTTTCAAAAATAACTTCCCCCCACATACTCAGGCATACTGCTTATATTATCATTTAAAAAGCACAACATGGTTCTGAAGAACCTAGGGGCAAGACAGGAATAAATATCCAGACATAGAGAATGGAGTTGAGGACACGGGGAGGGGGAAGGGTAAGCTGGGACAAAGTGAGAGAGTAACATGGAGTTATATATACTACCAAACGTAAAATAGATACCTAGTGGGAAGCAGCCACATAGCACAGGGAGATCAGTTCTGTGCTTTGTGACCACCTAGAGGGATGGGATAGGGAGGGTGGGAAGGAGACCCAAGAGGGAGGAGATATGGGGATATATGTATATGTATAGCTGATGCACTTTGTTATAAAGCAGAAACCTAACACACCATTGTAAAGCAATTATACTGCAATAAAGATGTTTAAAAAAAATAAATAAATAAAAAGCACAACAGAATTATAAATTATCAAGAATACAAGTGAAGATACCATTTCTAAAACTTCAATAAGCAGATACCTAGAAAATCTCTGAAATTCCCTGACATACAGTTTGAAGAAAATAATCTTTTTGCAATATTTTTAAGCTGCACTGGAACTAGAGCTATCTTGGAAGCCATTCGCTGAGCTCCTGGCACCTGAGACTCTACTATTCTAGAGAAAAATCATGAATTTAAGACTTAAGGTTCTCCAGTTAATTAACTACTTAATTTAAGTGCATAGCAGTGTTAAACAGCTTCATGCCTAAGAAATAAATCAGTATCAAATGGTTAAATAACCAACTAACACAATCAAAGAAGAAATAATCAACAATTACAAACAAGCTTTTTAAACATATATTCAAAAAATTAAATTCAATACAGTTCACAGATCTAAACATTTTCCATTGGTTTTTAAAATTTGCGGCTAGTTAATCTATTATGTCAGCATGCTATGTACCTAAATGTTCTTGGTGAATCTTATTACCACAGCAGTGAGTCTGTGATTCAAGCACAACTTCCTTTATTGTGAAGATGACAGCAAACGTTGTGCAAGAGCAGAAAAAGAAAAGACAGAAAGATGCTGGTATTCTTTGCTAGTTCTTCTACCACTCTTACAAAAGACTACTCCCTCCCATCTCCCACCTCCCACTAACCACTCCTCACCCCTTTCAGGAAAAGAATTATTTTATCCAATAAAAACACAGCAACCAAGTAAAATATATCAGAAAAATACCTGCAAGACTTTTCTTCCCACAACTTGTCCCAGGCAAGGATCCTCAGGCACTCTCCCATGTGATCCTCCACTTCTTCAACCACTAGAGAAGCATCCTGAATGATGGCGGAGGGTCCAGAAGTTTATAGTAGATGTAGCATATTGAGATCAAGGATCATATCCATCTCCTCACAAAAAGGATGGGGCCTTTCAGGTGGTCCAGAACACCACTTCACACCTCTGTGATTACACTCATATGTTCTAATATTGACCAATTCCTACTCTCAACCCAAAAACTCCCAGCAGGATATACTCAAAATCTTGAATATAGAATTCTTATTTTTCCCTTTACTACTCATTATTTTAATTTATTTACATCCTGACTCATTCTACAGAAGATGTTGGATTGATACTACCCTTTATTAATAAAGCAATATCTAGAAGATATCCTTACTTTAAGGTATTCTCCACATACATATCCTCTCTCACAAAATCCACATGTAATGAAGGAATTAGCCACCTCAACCCCAATACTCTGGGTAAAGAAGGTTCAGAGAAGTGTGTGAAAATACCCTTCTGAGAGTCTATGAAGTGAGGGAAGGAGACGCTTGCTAAGAATTAACAGAAAAGTTGTATGTTACAGAGAAAATTATGGACTTGAGACTATGTGTAAATCAATGGCTTAGGAAACCGCTGCTAACCTCATGTTGCTCTCCTTTCCCCTCAACATAACTTTTAATGCTCTATTTTTTAAGTAAAAATATGCTCCTTATAAAACAGCGTTATGTTTTAAGAAAAATGGAAAGTATTCTCTCATCCCTCCATCCTTTTCTCAAAAGATCATTCATGTCCTTTTATCTTTCTTTTGCATATTTGAACATGCATATGATTTCTGATCACAAATATACTAAACATACTATTCTCACAACTTGCTTCTTCACTGTATGTATCTTGACCATCTTTTCACATCTGTATATATTGATCTAACTCACCTTTTGTAATATTCATATAACACTCCCTGGCATCCCTGGAACACATACCTGGTTCCATGCCCCATGTAACTTAAACATATGCTCATATTTCAATCTCCATCTTTTTAACTTTGGGTTCTAGGATGTTTCCTCAACCTTACTTCTAAATCATTAATTCAACTTTCAGCCCTTCCCTTGAATATTTTTTATTTTAGCAATTTTTTTGATTCTGAGAACTCTGCAGATCGCTTCTTTCAGAATAGCCTGATTTATTTTTTCAGCTGCTTTATCCCCTTAAATCTCTCTAAGGATACAAATTACATTTAAGTTCTACCTACTTCTTGTATCATTCTCATTTTCCAGGAGTCAATTTTTCTCTCAGTTCATTTTCTATTGATATTGTTGGTGTTCTGGTAATCATTGGTATTCCAAATTTGTGAATGGTGTTCCAGAGCTATCTAAATAACCTGGGTTTCTCATAGATCTGTAGGTCTGTCCCTCTCTGAAGGAATCTTCCCTGAATGAGAGAGCTGATTTCAGGATGAATGTGAGTGGGCAGAGCATATCAAGAGGTTTTAATTTAGAATGTGTTGTCATAAAGCAGGTTGTGGTCTGGAACCTCCAAGACAGCAAACAATAGGAAGACTTTACTTTCGGGGTGGAGTGTTTTATTGTATTTCATACATGTGGAACCATTTTCCCTTTCCTCCCCTTTGTGTTCTCAAACTCTGCTTTGCTACTCTCCAACCCCAGCACACACAACCAGAAGCCTTCTCCAGATTCATCATGTGCAGAACAGAAGCCATGACTCTATCCTAGAGACAAATATCCCTGGCTGACAGTCATTCTGTACAAATGAAGAAGAACGGAGTCCAGCTGGCACAGGCAGTTTTTAAATTAATTACTCTGATGATTACCCCACAGACCACTTCAATCCTTTGAAACTGTTAACAACACAAATGGAGTTTCTTGAGGCCCACCAAGGAAAAACTTCTCAATTTCAGTTGTGGTTTTTCTCTGCTCTTGTTTCTCTGCACCTCTCATTCCATCTACTTTCTATCTTCAGGGAATTCCCCAAAATCTGCTATATCAATGTAACCCTTTCTTGCTGCCCAATGCTGTTATAGGCTTAATTTTTTTAAAAAAAAGACATTTTTAGTCATTTCAAGCAAATATGGAGAAGGTTGGGAGAACTGATCATCTGCCATCTTCTAACAAAAGACTCCTCAAACTTTCAACATGTATTTCCATCTATATTTCTTCATAAGTAAAGTAAAAAGTATCCACTTCTGTAGTTCTATGAATAGAAATACTTTGCACAGCAAACTATGCATAGTATTCTTTTACTTTCCTCCCTCTACTCATAACCTGCTAGAGAACAGGTTTTATTATTATTAAATCATCTAAAATCTTATTTCCTAGTTGTCATTTTTTCATAGCTTCCATTTTATTAGGAATATTTTCTCTAGTTATATTATACCTCAAATGTACATCAAAGTATATTATTAACAATTTTTTAGACTTAACCATAAGTTTCATTGACTGTTTCGGTTTGTTGTTTGATTTTGTTCATCTATGCTTAATGTATACCTTTCTTTTTTCCATCCAGAATTCTCATGTGCAGAACAGAAGCCATTACTTATCATTTCATTTCATTTCATTTTGCTTAAGTACTTCCAAATAATATATTCATTTATCCATAAGTGCTGTAGTTCAGAATGCCTTGGAAAGAATATATATCTGTCTTCATACTTTAAAACACTTTTGTTGCATACAGAACCTTAGGGTCGTAGTACTTATACCTTAGAATCCTACAGGAATTTCTCTACTGTTCCTTAGTATCCAGTGCTGCATAAGAAAACTCAGATGCCAATCTGATACTTCTTTTGCTTTAGGGTGAGCCTATTTACTCTATCTGGAAACTTGATTTTCTTTTGATCCTTGGAATTCAAAGTTTGACCAATATTTGATTTTACCAGAAATTTGATTTCAGTATATCTTATTTGATGGCATTCTTCAGCTCAGGAAAATTTTACTCTACCATTTCATTGTCTACTGCTTTTGCAGTATGTATTTTTCACTTCTGGAATTCCTATTTCACAGATAGTGATCTCTTGGATCTATTTTATAGGTCTCAAACTTTTCTCCCATAACATTCAACTCTTTTTGCTCTATTCCCTGAGAGAAATCTCAATCTGTCAATATCATTACCTCTCTTTTTTAAAAATATATTGTGAAATATTTTAGACATACGAAGGAGTGTATGATATTATTTAATAAACAGCTGTGTATCCACCCCCCAGCTTAAGAAAAAAGTGCTATCTAGATAAGAGAAATACCTTTCTTTTCCTCCCAGAGATAACCTAAGTTTGGTGTTTATCATTACCATGGATTTCCTTATATATTTTATATATGTGTATATCCATAAAGCTATACATAGTATTGCTTTGCATTTTTAAGTTTCATATATCATACTTTATATATTCTTCTGCACCTTTACATGGATATACCACAGTTTATTTATACACTCTCCATTTATTAGGGCTTAAGATTGCTTCCAGTTTTTCACTTTTACAAACAATACTGTTATGAACATCCTTATTACACTTATGTGTGAGTTTCTTTAAGGGAGTGTTTTTCAAACTATAGCTTACAACCTACCAATATAATCATGTTAGTAGGTCAAGGTCACAGGAAGCTTTAAAAAAAGAGTGGTGAGGAGTAAAGGGAAAAGGGAAGAAAATGAACAAAGTAGTAAGGCACAGAGATAGATCAAAGTGTACTGTACACAGTAACAGTAAATTTTGTTTCCTGAAATTTTGATTTATGTCATGGTCAAAACAGATCAATAAACAATGCTAAGGTATATAAGGTATATTCATATATATATATATATATGTAGAATTTCTGGGTCACTGGAGAAATGTGCATTCAAACTTACTAGATATTGCTAAATTACTATCGAAAAATAGTTTATACTTCTGCAAGCTAAGAGTTCTTGTTGCTACACAAGCTCACCAACACAATATAGTCAGAGTTTTAAATTTTTACCAATCTGATATGTCTGAAAATATATTTCAAAACACTTGTTTTTGAATGATTTTGCTAGTTACTTCCAGGATGGTATCTGTATTCTTTTAGTATTTGAAGGCTGAATTCTCAACTTACAGCATCTATTGTTGGAGTTTAGAAGTCTGCTACTGGTCTAATTTTATACCTTTGCAGATAATCTATTTCTGGTTACTTTTATTTTCTCTTTGTCCTTAACATTATCCAGTTATTTTTCTTCTTCTGGATTCACTGTGTTTTTTCAGCCTAATGATTCACATTTTTTAATTTTGGAAAATTCTCATTCCTTCTTTGGATATGGACTGTCAGTCTCCTCGTTCTCCTTTTCTGAACTCCGACTTCCCATATATTAGACATGTTTATTCTTCTGACTCTAAACACGTCTTTCATGTTTCCATATCTGTTTTTCCAAATCTGTCTTCAAGTTCATTAATTCTCTCTTCAGCTGGGTTTAATCCATTTAAGCCGTTCAATGTTTTTCCATTTCAATTATTATATTTTTAATTTCTAAAAGTTCTCTTCTTTTTCAAATCTTCCTCGTACTTGACAGCATTTTGTCTCTTGCTCATGTTTTTTAATCCTCCATTTTATTTCTTTAAACATTTATATATATATTCCATACTCTTACCTAGTAATTTCAATATCACAGACGTCTAATTTTGCTGTTTTTCCTGCTTACTCTTGCTCATGATTGCTGATTTTCTCCAAAGCATTTCATTCATGCTTTACCAACAGTCATACTAAAAGGCTTATCTTGAAGGTGCATCCCCCTAAAGAGTATTAACTTTTGTTTCTATTAGATGCTTTGCAGCACTATCAACATTTGACTATTTTTAAATAATTTTCTCTGCCTGCAGTTTCCTGAACTAGACAGATAGTATATATTAGAATCTCAAACCCACATGAAGACAGGCTTACTTTTTAGTCTCACACCCAAATGCCATGAGAAGAAAATGTCTCTGATGTTCTCTGCTGGAAGTTAAATTTCATGTTCTGGACTCTCTTTCATTAAAGACTTATCTTGAAGAGCCTCGGCCTCATGCAGAGGCCTCAATTCCAACTTCCCATCTAGTGGATGCCCAAAGATCTCTCTCCTCAAAAGCATGTGACCTTTAAATATAAGCATCTAGGTCAGCAAGTGTTCTGATTACAGCTTTGGAGTCAACTTAGCACTCTGGATTCTAGTACCCTCTATATTTTTTGGCCTCTAAGGGCCAAAATCAAATTTTTAATCGTTAACTGTTTTTCACTGTTCCTTTCTCTAGAAACTAAAAATTTTCAGTTTCTTTTTTTTTTTTCACATTAACTGATTTCTGGGCTATTTGCTCTGCTTATTTTAGTATGAGTCCTCTGTTCAGCACTGCTAATTTTCCTCAAATATCCAGTATTTCATCATTGTCTTCATCTTTTTAAATAAAGATCTAGATTGTTCAGTATTGACGGCTGGTTCAGGTCACTGCTTTACCTTCAAGAGTCTCCCCTACTCCCATAATAAAAGGCTGTGGGACTTTGTGGGCAGGTTTTGCCTTTAGTGTGGTAAAGGGGAGAAACTAGCATGTTTTTCGTATAGATTCACTGATCCTAGAGTCTTCTAACTACCCTGATATTACCCGCAGGTAATTTTCCCTATGTTGAGTTACAAGCTGTTCAGTAGTAGTGGTTTCTAATCATCTAATCTAATCATCTAATCATCTAGATGATTAGATGATCAGTCTATATTTTCAGTCTATATCAGTCTTATATCTTCCAGAAAGTCTCCAAATGTTCTGATCCACCGACTGCATCCTTTCCTGTTTTCCAGAGCTGCTACGGATTATTTTTTCTTATTTTTATTTTCTTTTGTCATTGCAATTTGGACTTGGCCTGCTATCATATACTTGCATTAATTTTTAGAAATTCCAGAGATCATCATATCACAGAAATTATATCCTCAAAAAAAAGGGTTTCTCCCCCCAAAATAGCAAGAACAGAAAACTGAGGGGCACATCTTAGAGGAGCCTCAAATAATTACTATCATGTGTACACACGTCTTGGCTTACAGTTTCTTCCCCGACCCCCTCTATTTTAGTAGTACTGTTGTATCTTATCAACCAGCCAAAAAAAAAAAAATCACAAAAACAAAAACACCCTCTCCAATTCCTACTTCTGGTTCATCTTCTACTTAAAGCGTAAGTAAAGAAATTTGAAAGTAGAGATTAGGATTTTTTTTCTTTTATCATGAACAATTTACTCTAAGTTTTAAGTATATTCTTTATTATAAAAGTAATTAGCCAAGTTATAGAAAATTTTCAGTCTACAGAGTTTTACAGATGATATGAATTAAACATGCTTGAATGAACAAATATAGTGATAAATCAAGAAACTTAGACTCAGAACTATGCCAATTCTACCGACCACTATTTTTCTTCCTCAGTCAAGTCTAAATAGAAATAAAACAAAGTAAAAGTAAAAAGAACAAAATATATTTTTTCTGGTTAAATTTATTACACAAAGAGAATGCTTTATACTTCTCTCTGCTGTTGGATGGCACATTCCACATAGAAAATACACTCCAGGACAGCATGCCAACTCTTTAATTTGCTCTCCCCATAACTGCCCTACTAAAAGGTTCGCTACCACCCACCCCTCCCCTCCTTTCTTTCTGAAATCACTTAAGTAAAAAAGCTTTGTGCCACAATTATCATCTGGATACTTCAAGAATATATTCATGTCACTCTACAAGTCAAGTGATTACTGTTTTAATGGTCATACTTATTAATAAAATGTAAGTGGCAGCAACCTAAATGTCCATCAAAAGAGGAATGGATAAAGATGTGTTGTACCATAAATAGAGCAATGGATGAAAGAAGACATGCTGTACCATCAACAGAGGAATGGATAAAGAAGATGTGGTACATGTATACAATGGATTATTACTCAGCCAGAATGAAAAGAATGAAATAATGCCATTTGTAGCAACATGGATAGACCTAGAGATGATCATACTAAGTGAAGTAAGTCAGACAAAGACAAATATCACATAATATCACTCATATGTGGAATATAATTTCTAAAAATGATACAAATGAACTTATTTACAAAACAGAAATAGACTTACAGATATCAAAAACAAACTTATGGTTACCAAAGGGGAAACATGGTGGGGAGGGATAAATCAAGAGCTTGGGGTGAACACACACACACACTATTATATACAACAGATAACCAACAAAGACCTACTGCATAGCACAAGGATCTCTACTCAATATTCTGTGTTAACCTATATGAGAAAAGAATCTAAAAAAGAATAAATATATGTATATGTATAACTGAATCACTTTGCTGTACACCTAAAACTAACACAACATTGTAAATCAACTATACTCCAATAAAATTAAAATTAAAAAATATAAAAGTAAGTGGCATATTCAAGCTCTAATCTCAGTATTTAGAATGAAATTGAAGGCAATTATCAATATTGCTTATACCCAAACCTATTAGGTATTTTAAAAAACAAAACACTGGCTATACAGGTTCTATACAGGTTTTCAAATTTATATCCTTTTGATCTTTCAACATGAGGTTTTACATTAAAAAAAATAACACCTATAAACTAGTGGTGTTCTTTGCTTCATTTATATGCAGGTCTGAACGTTGTGAACATAATGAACTGAAGAAGCTAAAGAAGCAAGTTATTTAAAGGAATACTATGTTCAATGCTTTTGTAAATTAAACGATAACCCCAAATTATCTTTTTTATAAATCCTAATTTTACTCAGTATTACTTAAAAGTAGGGTTTAATAAAAGCCAAGAAAACATTAAGATATTTCCAAGATTTAAAACAACATGTGCCTTTGATAATATTATTCTTTTCAGCAGCCCAACAAAGATTACTGATTAACACTTTGATATGCTGACACTACAGTAGCTGACTGACTTCTAAAATGAGGGCTCTTACTCAACTTTACTGATCAGCATTTTATGTTGCTTAGTTCACTAATTTCACAACTTTCCAAGACACCAACTGATTTCAAATATCATCAAGCACTCCTGAAATCTTTCCACAGAATGAACTGATACATACCTCAGGACCACTATGGTAGAGACCATTAATGTGAAATTCTTTGCCTTTTACCTTGAGAATCATTTAGTTTCAATATAAAAAACTTTTTAAATGTCAAGCAATTAAATTACTTAATATTCCACCCCCACCAAGCTTTTAGTAGAAATGATACTCTAAAAGAGTAATACTTTTATTGTGTGCCTTCACAAACTCCCTGGTAAAAAATCCATAGATACCTTAGCACTCCAGTCTGAGCAGCAAGTTCATAGACCATGTTGCTAAAAGTTGCAAAATGTAGTTTATGTTCAGTATGTGGTCCACTGCACTAACTTGAAAAAAAATGGTGACTGGTAAAAAAATATCTTAAAAAGCAGATTTTTTTTTAAAACTTTCAATAATTCGTTAAGCACAAATTTAGAACACAGGTTGAATTACAAAGAAATGTAAATAAATTTTTAAATGGTGTAAAGTTGTATTAATTACACATCTACTTGAGGGAACTAAGCCTTCTTCACAATGTTTGACAATTACTGACAATTTTATTATCCACAAGAACTTTATTTTTTCTACTATTTGCTTATGTTTTAAATTAAAAACTAACATCATGGTATTATGAATTGTAATCCATAAAAATTACACAATGTACAGCACAAAATACATCTTTCCAAACTTAAATATAATTAATAGTAAGCACATAACACATGAACACATAAGCAATGCTTTTAGAAAACAAAAGCATGCATTAACAGAGGGTAAGTGAAAAGGATGGAAAACCAGAAGGCCTCTGTTCCAAACCCAGATTCTGCCACTCAACAGCAGTGTGACCTTGGGCAAGCCAACAACTCAGTACCTCGGCTTCCTCATTTGTAAAGTGAGATAATAACTGTACTCCACGGAGCTGCTGTGATGTTTATGTAAGTTAACATTTGTAAGGAACTTAGAACTAGGTCTAGCACATATTAAGCACTTTATAGGTATCTTAAAAAACAAACAGAACCGTTTCTAATTCCAAGGGAATGTTTATTTCCCTTATCATTAACCTCTAATTATCCTTACTTCTATGGTCACTTTTACTCCTCATCTCCACACACAGATAAACACAGGTGGTTTACACAGATTAGCAACATCACTGATTTAAATTCAGAAATGAAATTCAGAAATTCCTTTGAGCTGGGTAAAGCTCAACCAAGCTATCAATCAAGAAACTATGTATCTCTTATTAAAATTATCAAATAAATTAAATATGTAAATGCCCAGCATGATGAAATGTGATATCGCTTATAGGACTCCATGAAAGGAATTTTTATTAATTACTGAATAGGACTTAGCAAAATGTTTTTGTAACTCTTACAACTCACTTTTTTAAACTTACATTTAAGAACAGAGATGCAACGGAAGAAAAAAGACAGAAACAAACAAAGCAACTGATCCTACTCACCAACTAAAATATTTACTGAAACAAAATTTTACTGTAGAATTTTTATAGAAACCTTATAATGGATTAAACTCCCATCATCACTTCTATTTTGGCCAAATTAGTGATCCCAAAATTAATACAGTCTACAAACTTGCAATCATGTTTCCATGGGTCATCATGATCTGTTCATATTTTGGAGTGTATTGAAATAACAATACAAAAAAGGCTCTTATTAAATTGCAAGGTACCTTAGAATATAACCAGCTACTCATGTGTAATACTCTTTAAAATGAAGATTAGACTTTAATCATTAAAAAATATATTTTAGGCCTCATGTGAAATGCTTAACTTTTTCAAGCTCTATGCACCTAAGCCATGACAAGGATCTCAAAAAGGAAAAAAGATCATTTCAGTTTTCAAAAGTTTTTTTTTAAATCATAAAGTTAACTTAAAATGAATCATTGGATTAGTAAATCAATAGCTAATTATTGCAAGTTATCAATGTTAAGTAACAAACATGTATTTAGTAATGGATACCCAAGAGCCCACCCACACTTGTGCTAAATGAACAGATTCCTCCTTAATGAAAAGCTGAAGCCTAAAGTGAAAGGCAAAGTTACATTATTAACGCATTGAAGATGACAGTGAACCTCTTCCTCCAAAACTGATTTTCTGTGAGATACAACAGAAAATCTCTACTCAGGAAAAAAAAATTGTATACTTATGAGGAGCAACCACAGGAAAACACCCTGAGGTACTGTTAATAGGGTAGGTTCCTAGGCCCTAATCCATACTTATTGAATCAGAATCTGTATTCTGAACCTGAATCTGAAGCTGAGTCTGAATACATTTCATAAACATTAAATATGTTAAGCAAAATTTTACTGAGAACCCAACAGATTCCAGTCATTGTGCCAGGAACTGGAGACTATTAAAATATTAGTGTCAGTAAATCTCAGCTGAAAAGACAACACTATTAAATATTAAACACTATATAGAATTCAAAATGGCAGAAACCATGTCTTGTTCTTTATTGAATCGCTGTCGGCTGTCTAAATGATGCATTTCAAAAATGGGTTTCTGACTATCCATTTTTTGTTTATCTGCACTACTTTATCCTTCTATTTTCCTGAATAATGACTTTAAGAGATGATAGGAAAGAAATTAAAAGTCTAAATAAGCTTTCACTATATTATGCCCATGAAAGTATACAAATT